TTCTGATGTTTCTACTGACTCCTGTTATTTCTAGGCATGATTATTCAGTCATGTGGCAGGGAGTCGAATGCCTTCTTGTAGTCAATTCAAGTTACATTCAAGTTGGTCTTCCTTCTCTTACAGTTTTCCAAAATCATCTTGTCAGTTAGGAGATGGTGATGATGATGATGATGATGTTATTGTTTCTACCATTAATATTTACACACCACTTAGAGTCTATTGAAATTGATGCAGTAGATAAATTGCATAAATAAATAATAAATAAATCCTGACTTAAACAAAATTAGGATTTTATTTGCCAAGCTGACTTATAACTTTTCAAGCTATGTTCATGAAACACCAATAAGACTAATTTCCTCTCTTTCCTCCTTCTTCTTTTTAATTCAGAGAACTTGTCTTGAATATCAAAACTCCCTGAAAACACTAATTGTATATCTTTGTTTTTGTATTTTATTTTTATGGTGAAATGTAACAACCAAAATATAATAAATAGTAATATAATAATAATGCAGTGATAATACAATTAAATAAATACAATGATTAAAAATATTAAAACTAAAAAAAATCCTAGAATATGTGAATAACTATAAGGTAGGTCAGTCAGGCATCTTGCTTAATTATAGTTAAGAAAAGCAATTTCTTCCCTCTGCCCCTGTCATCTTGAATTGTATATAGTCTTTTTATATAGTATTATTTTTTTTAGCTAATTTAATATGGATATTTATATTTTTACTGCTTTTAACATTTGGATTTTAATTGTGAGCTGCCCAGAGTCACCCTCTGGGAGAGATGGGCGGCATATAAATTTAATAAATAAATAAATTTCAAATACATGTATATTTTGGGTCATGGGTCTTCTTAATTTCTCTTCAAATAGTCTCTCATGCAGTTCAGTCTTCATTTTTGAAATAGATTCCTACTTATTTCCCCAAGCTAAAGGAAGGCACAGATATTTCTTTGTTAATAGAATAAAACTCCTTTGTATGAATAGTGTTTCACTTGGATAACTATTTTAATATTGCAAAATGAGTTATTTGTTTTTAATTATCACACACAAGAACTCTTGGCCAGCATCTGTGGAGATTTATCCCCATGTTATTCTTACAATATCTTTTTTTTCCAGTAGACAGGCTGAAAAGGTATAAGTTCATTGTTGCCCAATTTTATATGAATGAGATCTTATAGACCAAGTTTAACTATTACAACACACTCAAGTTTAATGTAATTCACTTTAGGCATTTATGATATAAAGAGTTCTGAGCAATTAAACTAAGGATCAATCCAGTTCATAACAGCAGTCTGCCATATCTGTATGAGAAATCTGTAACATTGTACAGATAACAGCACTCCCTTATATTGTGTCCTTACCATCTGACATTTAGCAGTATATAGACTCTGAACATGGAGGTTTCATATAACTGAAGTGGCTAAGGATGTAAATCATAGCAAAGTAGAAAAGAATCCAACTGTCAACTTTTAATTTACTGGGTTAAACTACAAGTAGTTCTCACTTACCAACTGCTCGTTCAGTGACTGTTCAAAGTTATGATGGCACTGAAAAAAAAGATTCACGACTGGTCCTTGAAATTGCACCCATCTCAGCATCCCCGTGGTCATGTGATTGTGGTTTGGGGACTTGGCAACCACCCAGCGTTTATGACAGTCGCAGTGTCCCGTAGTCACATGATTGCCATTTGCAACCTTCACAGCTGACTTCCAACAAGTAAAGTAAATGGGGAAGCTGGCAGCAAGTCAAAGTTGTGGTCACATGATATTGCACTTAACAACCACAGGTGATTCTGACGTAAGCCGGTCATGGTCACATGATGTTTCACTTTACAGCCATGTCACTTCGTGATGGAATTTCTGATCTCAATTGCAGTCAGTAAGTGAGGACTATCTGTCTGTTCAGGCCTTAATTTTTACCTACAAACTAACAAAGTACTTGCTAAAAAAAATAATCAGCATATATATTTTAATAATTGTGACTTGGCATTCTGAATGAACATATACTATATAGTCTTATTTTAAGAATCCTCTGTCACCCTCTATTTTGTAAAGGAATTGGGAAGGGCCTATAATTCTGTCTATTGTACTATGTTTATACAAAGAAATAAGAATGTAGATTTTTAGCCCTTCTATTATTTTTAAATCTGTTTAAATTAGTGTCCCCATTCTCACAGCAGTTTATGGATGATAGTCATAAAAACAATGGCAAAGTACAAATTAAAATATTGAAAAACTTTCTGACATAAAATATTCTCAAAGCATGATTTAAAGTATATTGCAAAGGAGTTTGACAGGTTTTTCTAGAGAGACCATTGTGCAATCTTAAAACTGACAGAAAAATCTATGATAACCTGATTTCAGAGGTTGAGTAGAAACACTGAAACAGTGTTATTAAATACTAGGTAAGTAAAAAAAACCCTTTATGTTACAGGTAGTCCTTGACTTACGATCACAATAGGGACCGGAAAATTCATCATTAAGTGGTGTCATTAAGCAAGGCATCATATGACCATCCTGATTTTGTGTCATTTTTTGCGGTGGTCATTAAGTGAATAATGTGGTTGTTAAGTGAATCATCCAGTAGTCCATTGATTTTGCTTGTTGGAAGCCAGCTGGGAAGGTCGCAAGTGGCAATCATGTGACCCTGGGATGCTGCAACCATCATAAATACATGCTGGTTATCAAGCACCCAAATTTTGGTAATGTGACTATGGGGGATGCTGCAATGGTTGTAAGTGCAAGGTCCAGTCATAAATCACTTTTTTCAGCGCCGTTGTAACTTCAAATAGTTGCTAAATGAATGGTCGTAAGTTGAGGACTACCTGTATTATGTCCTATATAAGTAACGTGAACTGGTTTAAGCGTTCAAATTTCAGTCTATTCTGTCAAACATTCTACAAATTATTTTTAAAAAGCAAACAATCTATAATTATTGTAAACAAGTTCCAGCCAAGTCTGCTTTTTTCTGTACAGTTTCTGAGCTAAGAAATAATTCAAGTTGCATGGAAATTACCATACATCATACTGCAATAGATAATTGTGGAGAATTAGGTTATTTCGCTATGGAGAAATAATCTGTGGTAGATTTCTTTTACATGCCTTACATCATTAAGTGCTTTTAACACAGTGTCAGTACATAAACTGAGCCCAGAAACAGATCACTAACACATAAAGCCACTATAGAATTATGTCATACAAGCTGACTGCCTTGTTCCTGACCACATTTTCCCCTTCATAACAATACCTAGGGATTGTTGTTGCTTGGATTTCCATACTTCTGTGTTGTTTTACTGCAACAGGAACTCCTGGTCTCCCTGTATGGGTAGGGAAAGTTTCTAGGCTCTAATGTCAGAGCTGGATAAGATCCTAGAAACTACTAGTTTTACCAAGCAGACTCCCTGCATTAATGAGCAGTTGAAGGGACAATTTCTTGAATACTTTTTCCTCCCAGAAAGATGGCTTGTGAAATCTGAATGTGAATGGGTTGGCATGGTCTCTTTGATCCAGAATGAAGGAAAAGGCTTTAAAATTCCCTGGTATGACTTGACTGGCCAGGAGACTGCTTGCAAGAAGTTTTTTGCTGGGCTCAGTTTTATATTTAGCTGAGAAGGGTAGTGGTTCAACCACCCGTGCTATCAACTTACACCTTGGAACACAACCTACAGAACAGACTAGAAGGGAAGCCCCTCTATTCGCTGAGTTGAATTGCTTGAAGGGCTGAGCCTTGAGTCTTAATCTCAACAGGAGCTGTGTTTTGAGACTCAAGCTTTCACATAGATCAGGAATGATCAATATCTAAATCTTGATCATAGGGGAGGAAGCTAATTGAGATCAAGGCTGTTGACTGAACATATTCTTTGGGGATTTGCTGTTTTGTGAAGAGGCATGGATGGGAATTTGCTGCCTATAGAGGGGTGTCCTCCCCTTCAAAGAACTTACAATGATTTAGGGCCACATCTTCCTACTAAGAAATCTAAAAGGGGTGTTCTTTTTTTTGAGGTGGAGATCCTGGATGCCAAGACCCGCGAAAAGCTGTGCTTCTTGGATAAGGTAAGGGTCCTAATTTGGGAAGAGGGATGTAAAGTTGGAGTTCGCTTTTTGTCATTGTAGAGCTTTATAATTGCCTTAGTCTTAAAAAAATATAGCATTGCACTTTCATACTGGAAAAGTTTAAAGAAATTATTTACTAAAATCTGCCATAGAGAAAAACTTGAGTGAAATATACATGAAGGCAGGACCTGCAGTTAGCAATCCTGGCAACAGGGTGACATGTGAGATCCTCATGTGCAGGAAATTATAGTTAATTGCATAATCTATCAATGTTACCTTTGCTATTAAAATGCAAATATGCATGTTTCAAAATTATTATAAGAAATATATTTGCTTTGCTGTTGTGTGGTACACACTTTAACTCCAATTTGTTCTAAGATCATGAGCATCTGTCTCTGATTTGGATGTCTTAATCATCTTTTAGCCTGTGTTTGATATCAAAGGCCTTTATAGAACAGTTCTAGAATCATGACTACAATAAGCATATGATATGGCCACCAGTAGAGTTTTTAAGGAAAGAGCTGGTGTGGCACCTTTGTATGCAGATCCTACGTAAGGAACAAAGGCATGAACCCTAACTGCAGGGAGATGGATTAGTACTGTAAATGAAAGACAGGGCTTTAAATTTTCAGAACAGTTTGTTATCTTAAATCACAGTTCCATTCTTACATAATCATTGCACTATCACTGACTTAATGTTAATATACCAGAACAAAGAATTCTTCTGGCTCTGTACTTTTGTCACTGCAGCTAAACACACCTTCAGATTTTGGGTGCATTGGAACACCCAAAATATGGGAAGGTTTTTTGGTTTGAGATAATGAAACAAAATGCTTTAATTGTTTGTTTAGGCGTATTTCTGGTTGGCTTGAGCAAACACAAATGAGCTGGACTTCAGTGTGTTTTTTTTTTTAAAGGTACAATCCACAGAAAACTTCCTATTGGCCAATTTTTCAATCCTTAATGATTCAAGATTTCAGAGACTCTTGTATGAAATTGCTAGTTGTGCATTTTGGCTCAAAGAACTTAACTCAAAGAAGACAGTGCCAAAAGTATCTGTAAGGCAGGTAAACTTTTCAGACACAAGCCTGCTGGGTGGAATTTGTCATTGCAAAGAATGACATATCCCATCCAGAAGTGCTAGCCAATCTGATTGAGGGGAGGATTTTGAACCCTTAATATGGTGACACCTTAGTTACAAATGCTCTGTATATTTGCATTGTCAGTCCTTTTTCTGTGCAAAGTGGATCAAAGAGATATTCTTTCTGGGATGGGATAAACTGGGAAGGTAGGAAACATGCTTTATGGGAAAGGAGAGAGGACAGTGATAAAAAGTACAGATTTGGGAGCACCAAAGAGGGAGATTTGATTATTCTTTCTTTGGCCCAAGGATTTACTAACCATGGCAGTTCAGGTTTGTGTCAGCACTGGATGGTAGTAGCATGGTGCCCTTTTCCATTTTGATTCCTATGGGTATTGTTAATCCTTTCAGGCAAATGAGACTCTTGTGTTGACTTTGAGGAAGCAAGAAGACTAAATATAGAGATGAGACTAAAGTAACATCCAAACAGTGTTCATGATCAGTAAAGCACAATTATAATTTCTTCCACATTGTTGTATGCCATGTATGGTTGTTGGACTCTAGTCTTATGTCCCAGTAACTGATTTCTTTACTAAAATGCAACTGTCTTCCTTATCCGTACATTGAAATTACTTTACCATTTTGTAGTTTGGCAACACAAATCAATAAGATAACCTGTTTTCTGGGTGTGAAGGTGTGGTTGCTATGCATAAGTAATGGGTAAAAATTATAAAAAGACAGAATTGCAGCACAACATTCCTGTACCCATTTTATTTATTGATTAATTTATACAAGTGCTTTTAAGTCACTTTAATCAAGCAAATATAAGGAGCTTACAAAAGGTATGTAGCAATAAATCAGCCAAAGAGAAAAAAGATGAATATATGTTTTCAAAATACTTTCAACTTAATAATAACAGCAAAACAACAATAAGCAGCACCCATACACATCCCAGGTATGTATGTCATCAACTCCTCAATGTCCTCTTTAAAAGCATGAACATATTTTAAGAAGAGATTGAGGAATGTTTACCCTTTTCCCCTGCTGTAGAACAATTTTATCAATACATAACAATGTGAAGAATAATTTACTTCCAACAGCCATCAATGCAATTTCCAAAAGTGGGTCCATGCAAAACAAACAACGCATGCTCCCCATCCATTGATGTTAGATATATATATAAAATATATAATACAGGTTTTCATTTTATTTAATGAAAATATCTAAAAGATAACAGAGGCTGTTTTAAGGTTTCAATCATGGGATTCAAATTACACTATGAATATAGTATGTAATTTTTTTTTTTTTACAAATCTGTATACTCATTTCCTCTAAATGTAAAAATACTTGTTTAAAAGCCCATCATTCTGCCTCTCCAGCTGAATACCCTCCTTTGCAAAGGAATGCACTCAAGCCAATTTGTTTGTTTTCTGTCTTTTTATAACTATCTTTTCCCATCGATAAAATAAACTTCTTTTGACTACATTGTTTCTTTTGTCTTCCACTCCTTTTGTTGGGCTTCCATATTGGACTCAAGCAGAATAAATGAATTGAGTGAATGAATGGTCTCTGTTCACAATTATTCCTGTTCTATGAGAACTACACAAAGTTCCTCATTTTGCTAATTGTTCATTACTTATATGGAACATTTTCACCCCAGAAAAGATATATTTAAAAGGAACATTTAAGAAATCTTTTCCAATATGCACTTAAAAATACAGTGGAACCTCGGTTTACGAACTTAATTCGTTCCGTGACTCTGGTCGCGACCCAA